TTTAAAATTTTTTATAGATTGCTCTGAAGTTTACATTAAATTTATTGTGTGCCCACAATTTGCAGTTTGCAGCTTCGTCTCTCCTCTCTAGAGCCACGAGCAAAACACGGCTGATCGCCTCGGGTTTCAAACTAGAAGTGGTATATTGTGACATAAATATAGAGCATGAGTGAGTATAGAGAGTGCGCTAGAGTGCTTGCTCTTAAAATTCATAGCTCAGTCAAATACAAATATGTCTGCTCTTTTGAGTGCAGCAAATATTTATTTAGAATTATTAAAAATACATTTCGCAATGAAAGTTATATATATGATAAATCCATTCGTATCAAAAGCTCTTTAGCTAATGTCAAAATCCATGGGGGAAAAGCAGTTTGTGTTTGTGTTTGTGTTCGTGACACGAGGCCATATCTAGGGTAAGTTTTAAATTATTTAAGTGGCCTAGAGCCAGGCCACATGCGAGTCGTGTTGCCAGGTGCGGCTGGCGGCGGGCAGGTGCCAATATTAAATAGTTTAAGCGAGATCGTGGAGCTGGGCTAGGTTGGGGTCTCGCTGACTTTATGGCCATGATAAGCAGCCGGGCAGACCCTTTTGATTTGGTTTAGGATTTGCGGTTGTCGCTGCCTCAGTTGATATACCCCAGTTTGCCTTTTCAGCTCGTTAGTTATGCGCCCAGCTGGGGTCGGGGCCATACGAGTCCGGGCGTCCCAGGCGGAGCTGGAGCTGGGCTTAAGGTTTATTTAAAAGGCCAGTGCCGCATGTTTGGGGTTTTGTGTGTGTTTTAATATGACACCTTTGCCAATGGTAATTTATCACCTCAGCACAGGGGACATATGCTTTGGGCCAGCCGTCGTCGTTGTCAGTTACCCTCTCTCTCTCACTCTCTCTCTCTCTCTTTCCCCTTCTGTGGGTGTGTTTTATAAACACTGGGGATTAAGCCAGCAATGACTTTAATGTGGGACCAACTGATTCTGGCTGGCAGATAATTAGTGACCGTCCAGAAGATTTATGCATGCGTGTAAATGGCTTAAAGTAGCAAGCAAATAAAAGAAAATGAAATGTAAACAAGCTAAGCGTCTAATTAAATCGCAGCAAAAAGCCAATGGGGCCAACCCAACTCAGAACTATTTAGAGCGCTGCCAAATGTTCCATCAATCTGCTCAGCGGCCTGGCAGCTGGCAGTTGGCAGCGGTCATAGTCATAAGGCTGACATACTTGGGCCTGCATGTTAATTAAGTTTAGCCCCAACTAAATGTCACCTGTTTCTTGTGTACCTATATCAACGGTAAAACTGTCATATTAGAATGGCTTAGGCTGCTTAAAAACTAAAGCTCAAAGCCGAGCGGTACAAACGGGCGTATGAGTGATATAAATATACATATATTTCAATTATTTATAAACACATATATATACGCATATATATTTTCCATTCAGTTAACATTTAGTTTTGCTTTTTTGCCTCGAATTTTTCTTTTTTTATTGCTTAGATTTTGGACACAGATGAGTTTATATTCGTTATTTGATTTTACAATTCATTGGATTTGACATTCTGTTTGCTCAACACTTGGCCAAAAACAATTGCAAATGCAAATGTTGCTAAATAAATTGTGTTGAATTTGTTGCAAGTTTTGATTTCATTTTTTGCTGTGAAATCTTAACAAAAGCAATGCAAATTTTAATAACACTCGAGTGTGTATTGCAATATATGTTTATTTTGCTATTGAAATTTTTGCTAAAAACTAAACAGTTGCTGTGAAGAGGCAGCAATTGTTGTTGTTGTTGTTGTCCAACGACCATTGGATTCTTGTCGAATTATTAACCAATTTGTTACTGCTTTTTACTGCATTCTGATG